GGAAAAGGAAAAGGAAAAGGAAAAGGAAAAGGAAAAGGAAAAGGAAAAGGAAAAGGAAAAGGAAAAGGAAAAGGAAAAGGAAAAGGAAAAGGAGGAAACCTTCTGATATTCATAAAATGCAAATCCTAGCAGAACCCCATAAGAGTAATTTTTTTAATCAATGTCCCAATCTTAAGGAATTCCTGGCCAGTTTTTATGTGATGCATCATCCCTGGTCAGAATGTATCCACACCATTTTATACCTTCCCCTACACATTACTGCAAAGAAGGCTGATAGGAATGGTTTTGTCAGGAGATAGAAATCTCCAGCAGTCTTTGATCTGGGAGATACAGTCACATCCTATGACTAATATTTCCATAGGTCACAGGCCAGCTCACCCTTAGACTTATTTGCATTCAGACACTCTCCAGCAATATCCTGTTTTCTAATTTAGGAAGTACTGATGATTATACATGGGGTTTGGCTCATTGGAATTCCTTCTCTCTCCACTCTCCATTACATTGACAATTCATCTCCATGCATGTGTGAAGGCAGGATGAAAACTTTCCTATCTCAAAAGAGAGAAAATGCCATTGTTTGCACTGATATCTGCTCCACGAATAACTGTGAGAGAATGTGCTGGGGTTGAATTACCATGCCAGTCCTGGTTGCTCCTTCTTTAGAAGTTTTTACCTCACCTTCACACTGGCAGTGTGGTTTTTCCAAACCTACAGCTTGCCTTTTCCTCCTGTTTACAGGCCCAGCTGCTATTTCTTCCCTGAGGGCTTCTTTGCTGCACTCTGACAGTCCCACCACTGCTCTTAGCTCCTTTACACACCCTTAACTTTAGATGTCCCAGCTTGCTTTGAGTTCAGTCAAATATTTTCATTTCCCTTTCCATACAGACAGTGTTTTTCCCTTTCCCTTCCAGATTAAATTCTCTCCCACACAGATGATTGTTTTTCCCTCTCCAAAGGTCATCCAGAAGGTGGTTTCATAACCAGTTCGACCACTGATGGGCCTTATAGTGCTGTCCTGATTCTCCTGCAGATGAGATGTGGGACAGTAATGTGGAAGATGCACCAAGTGTAATGTGGGGTCTGATGGTCCCTGGGCTTCCCAGCAAAGTCAAACCCCAAGAGAAGATTGCTCCCAATCTAGCAAGCTGCTATCAGCCTGCACTGCCTGCAGCTCAGCCTGGCTCATCCCACAGCAGGGAGGAACAGCAGCCAGCGTCTGTCTGGTCAGCCTTACATACGAACGAAAGGAATGCAGCCTCCTTCCGCTGCCTCCCACCCCCCAGCCGCTCCCCAGCCCATGGTTTCTTGTTTTCATGCACTGCAGTAAATCCCTTTGATCCGGCAAGTGGACTTTGCACGTGCAAGCTGAGTGACCAGCCCACATCTGCCTCTGCCTGTGAGCCCCACACTGCGAGCTCTTTGTCTGTCGGGGCACTCACACCCGTTTACAGAGCCCACACTGGCAGACTGCTCTCGCATGACACACTAACAAACCACCAGCCAAAGGAAAATATCTTGCAATCATTTCAGACCCTCTGGTTCAACCACTGACTTAGCCAAGTGGCTACTAGCCATTGGCACTGCTGGGTGCATTTGCAACCCACAGCATACTCAGTTCAGGCATGAAAAAAACAAAGCACCCATGGAGAAAAGGGTTCCTTGTCCCATGCCCTGAAGGCTGCATGAGAAAGGAAACAGCCCTGACATTTATAATTCAGTCCCAAATATCCATAGCTACTCCTCTCTGTCCCATTTTTTTATCAGAGGCAGGAGCTCCCCGTGGGGAACCGCACTGAAGAGGTCAATGTGAACACATTAAATGTCTTGATTGTACCAGCTCTCATTTAAGGCATCCAACAGTCAGTGTATTTTTAGGGAACAGATCATGTAAGCAATATGAAGGGTTCTGAATGACTTTGTGCTCCAGACTCAAATAAGCCGTTAAGGTAAGCCTATCACACTCCTTCCCTCAATTTACTCAGGTTGCTCCCAGGATGTAAATGTTCACAGGTATTTAGACAACCTGCTTTCCACAGACAAAAATGAGAGACAGCTTCCTGCTCCCAGGTTCTGCATCAAAGATGTGTTTTAACAAAAGGCAGCATTAGTTCTCATCACAAAGGGAAACCATGCTTTCTACAAAGCTGTGCACAGCTAGGACATGGGCAAGGACAGGGTGGTTTCACAGCTGTTAGGACAGGAGAGATCATCATTCCAGGTTTGTACTCCCTCTTGTTTTTGCCTTCCTGCTTTCCTAACAACCTATGCTATCTGCTCAGGACATGGTGAATGGAAACAGAAATACTCCCATAATTTGGGGCTGTTTAAAACACTGATGGTTTAACTGACAAAATCAGAGGAGTAGCTGATCCCACCGGTGAGGTGCTGGGATTGGGAGGTCTGGGCTCTGCACCCAGGCAGCTGCAGTCTCATCATCTGATAAAGGTTTTCCCTATCTGCCAGCAAAGGCAGACGTGCCTTTCTCACCACATCAAGCACTGTTGTGGATGGGCAGGCTCAGCACATCATGGCACCACATACAACCCAAGGCTATTCAACAGAAAGATCACAAGGCCAGTGAGAAACCTTTCTTATCACAGATTAATTGTAAAATGTAAGATTTCACATCACAATGTTAGAGGGGAAAGGTTTTGGCCTCAGAAAATTCAACCACGCCTAAGACTGGGTTAAAAAGCATGCAAACTCTTACAAGATTTTGACACCAAAGGGTAAAGGTGCTGAGATCAGCAGTATTTGCAAGCCCTTGTCCATATGCCCATTTGTGTGACAACTCCAGGAAAACCTCACCAGTTCACCCTTTCCAGGCTATTGTGTCATATCCCTGACTAACTTCAGGAAAAGCTATGTAAGACCCATCACTTCCAGCCTGAGGATGAATATGGGGGTCATATCTGAACAGACAAGATCACTGGGTCAACAGCTCTCACACTCTTCATTTGTGCTTTCATGGAGCTCCATCGTCTGCTGGAAGGCCTTGGCTGGGATGTCCCACTGGCCAGCCCCAGCAGGGACAAGCCCTCACAGCAGCATTGGCGCTACAAAGAACCAACATTCTGACCATGTTAATGCTGATTTCAAAATTACTGTACTACTTTCACTGGCTTTCAAATCACTGAATCACAGGTGAGGTCACTCCTGGCAAGGTGGCTATCCCCAGTAAAAGCACTAGAAAGCCCATATAAAAAGATCAATGCCTTTTATGTCTTACTATGATTTATACTTCAGACCATGTAACTTTTACAGTGCTGCCTAGTATGTGATGGATGCAACTCTCTTAACAACCCACATATTTATCTGATTTACTGCGTTGGTCCAATGTGTTATTTTCTGCCTTGTAAGAACAACCTTGCTTCTAGGAATCTGCCTGCATGATAAGATCGTGAACTAAATGCACAGTTATTGTAAGAGACCACACATTTTACAGTAAAATTGAGAAAACTGATTATAGCAATCCCTCTGGAAACAAGAATAATCACATGATAAGACAGTGCTAATGGGAATTTATCATCTCTCATCACGTGTGAAGCTTAGAACAAAGCAGCAATGTGTGTGAACTGCATAGCTATTAATGCCAATGAATACCAGCTGAAAAGCTGCTGGGGACTATGAAGAAATGAGAGGAGGGAACCTGAACAGCCAGCCTAAGCCAATTCGTATGCTTAAACCAGCTTACACAGAGATACATAACATTTGCAAATGATACCCAAAATAACAGCCTCACATCTATCCATACATCCTAGTCCCTCTCTACCTACACTACTTCATTCAAACTCTGTGTCACTCTTCTATTTCTTCTCACTATAATTTAGCACTGGAGAAGTCCAAGATCATGAGTATCTGAAGGGTATCTGTCTCTGCATGCCTACACATCTGCATCTACACACGCTGCCTCATGCACAGATTATTCCTAAACCACGTATCTAAGATCTGAAACACATTTCTCTTTCTCCCATACAAAAGGCACTAAAAACTTACCCACGCTATTTTCTATTTGAAGAAAGTAACACTTGACTAAACTTTGTATTTTTAAAGTTGTCTTGGGGAAGTGAGCGCCAAAACCCAAAGTGACATGTACATAGTTTTAACATGAATGATACATCAACATCCCTTAGGTATCCTAAAATTACTCTGCATCAAGCCCCATAAGACATATGAAACCTCAACAGGTTAATGGAAGATGGTGAACTCCTCTGTTCTATTGAATAATGAGTACATTTGCTGGCCTACCATATTATCCACTGCCCTGTTTCATAGACAGAAGCTTGGACTTTCAGAAGAGATTTTTTTCCTTTTCTAAATGAGAATAAAAGGAGATGGTTACGGGTAGGTGGCAGGACGACAAGATGAGAGAAGCATCCTACATAAGTACCTGTATGAGTCCTCTGGTGAGCCTTTAAGTGGGAGCTCTTTGTGTAAACTTTCCGGCACCCATTAAATTGACAGCGATGAACCCTCTTCTTGTTTTCTGGGGATGCTTCTGTCCCTGTACCTCCTTGCTCACTGTCACTTTGCCCACTTTTTATTGTCCCCGCAGTCGCTGTTGCTACACCCACTTTCACAGAGCTGAGTGAAGTTTTCTTGGCTACCAGTTTCAACGTCACTGTGCCATCCACTGCTGAGAGAGTCTGTGGGGTTTTTACGAGGTGGCGGCTGAGCTCTGGAGAGGAAGGGGGGGTTAATGAGGTTACTGCATTGAGCTGGGCCTGGTTGACGGCCGTGTAGCCTTCTGTGGAAGAGCTGGTGGACTGTGAGCTGAGGCACGTCTCAGACAGCAGTTTGTCACGGGAGAGGATGATGTCCATGCTGGCGCTTTTGTCACATGTACTTGTCTCCACTGGTAAAAGGAGGGGGTCCAGCCGTCGTATATTGTCCTCTGCATCTGGGGCTGAGGAGGCATGAAGGAAGCAGTCCAAATCCTCACCAAAGGTCTCAGAGATCTTCCGTGGTTCAGTCTGAAGATATCGCTCCAACTCCAGGCATGTCTGCAGAAGGGAAAGGGAGAGGGGAGGGAGAGAAACTGCTGTCAGAGAGAGATTACAGCACAGCTGTCACCGAGGGCAGGAGAACATGGTCCAGAGGCATTCCAGGACAGCACTCATCAACACCAACATCTTCTTGTGAGATGCTCACACACTGGGAGACATGAAGATTTGGCACTTGTTTGAGGCTGCTCAGAGACAGTCTGGGAATACCCACATAAGGTATGCAAAGGTATTATACTAGAAGTGAAGATACAACAACCAGAAAGCATCCACTACATTTTCATTAAAATCTGTACATTGTTCCATAGCTACCAAGGCCTTCCCAATTTTAGGTATAATCTGCCCGACAGTCACTTCCTATGAAACTATCCTAATAAACTCATCATTTGGCCACATACAAACAAAAAGTCACCTCTCCAAATAACTGCTTCCTTTTCCTTCACAAACATTAACTTTCTCTCCAAATTTAACTCAGTGTAGTTGGCTGGGGCCCAATCTTCCTTAAACAGCACAATTCTGAAGCGTGGCATTTTAAGATAGGAGGTAGAAAAGCTTCCAGTGAGACCACAGCTTGTTAAAAGGGCCTGAGAAAAGGAAAGGTGACAGATAAAAAAAGGATCTACTGTCAGTTTTAGAGGGAGTTTTGGCACATCTGGCCAAATGGAGCTTCCTGTGTACAGGACACCAGACTTGCACAAAAACACGAACACCTCCCTTTATTAAAATGTAGGTGAAGTTGCAGTCAAAGAGGCTGCCACATAAAAATGCTCTCCTGCACCTCCACAGCAATGATCATCAGCACAAGAATGGGATGAGCCTCCTACATGAATGTGCCTTATTATGAAGCGCCCTGAGCTTGCCCCAATAAAGCCTTCAGCCACCAAAGCACTGCCCCAGTGTCCTCCACAGCCAACATTATAAACTTTTATTGTTTACAGAAAACCGTTTGCTGTAGTTTCAGGAGCTTTTAATGGAGTTTATTAGCACTGTTTTTCATTTCTTGCAGCTTGAAAGGATAGCTGGTTTAATACCACCATTGTGACTTCACAGGGCTTGGAGAAAGAGACATTCTAACTAATATATGTTAGAAACCTCTAAAAACTACTCCTCAGAGAACACTTCTACTAATATTAAGAAAGGGGTTGTAGTCAAAAATTTTTAATCTATGGGAGCTGATGACTCAACTACATCTCAATCTGGAGAGTCCAGCATCTGATCAAGAAATGAAAGCTTCCTATGACTAAAGGAGAGACAGAGACTTGCTGCCTTCTGAGTACAAAGCTCCTATCAACAGGAATGTAAGGAGGCCTCACAGCTCTCTAGGAACTGCCAGGTAATTTGAGATTATTACTTTCAAAGCTCCCAGGAAGCCACACTGTTGGTTGCAGATACAATGTGGTGGGATGACTTTCAAGTTCACAACAAAATCTACCATACTGTTGCTTCTTTTTAAAATAATAGTTGATTATAGATCTGAGCTGTAGAGATAGATAAAAAGCAACAGAACAGCATATATGCAGGTGAGACATGCTATACTTCAGCATGTATGTTATATTCAGAGGTATGAGGCTGTCTGTACACAGGCTGGGGGGGTGGGACACTTATCAACTGTACTTGCCTTAAGCAACCTTTCAATTTTCTTTATAAAGTGCATTTCTGGGACGGAGAAACAGCTTATCTGGGAATCTGGTCTCTCCCCAGATAAATCCTAATGGGTTTTGGGAGAAGCTTTCCAACATGCCACATAGTCTTTCAGTAATAACCCCCACCACCAGGAGAGACAATGCTTTTGAGTTCTCCATATCATGTAATTTGGGCTTTCTGGTCTTCATCCAATGGGACACTTAGCCTTCATCCAATGGGGCAGAAACAGGTTTAGGGGCCCAGTAAATAAAAGGTTTCCAAAGGAAAAAGCAAGCATAATGACAAATTAAGGGTGGAAAGGGGGAGGGCAGCAGCAGGGAGGAGTGACAGGACTCAAGGCCATTAAATCTGATGACAATGACATGAAATTTCTATTGCTGTGGGATCAGAAAGCTGCATGCCAGCTCCAGGCTGCCCATGGAGGGGAGGCAAGCAGGAGGTGCTGCTCCTTTAAGGCATCACTACCCCATGACAGCAATAGTGGGCCTGACAGTTTTTCCAGCTTCACCATTAATTTTCCATAAAGAGCAGTTTCTCGATGAGCCCTTTTCAGGCAAAGCCTGATGCTTCACAAACCTGTAATTATTCCTGGCTCCCCCCTCCCGCAGCCACTGCACCTGTGCCATTTCAAGACACCAGCTGGTCATGTCTTGCCTTCTGCCTCTGAAATCCAAAACCAGTGGATCAAGCCCATCTCCCCATAGAAGGGGGGAGAAAAACAACTCAAAGAAACAATGTAATGCAGTCCCTCCCACCCACCCCCCTCAGCCTCTCCACCAAGTCAATAGCAGGGAAGAGCCTAGCAACGCTGAGCCAGAAAAGGCCTGCACCTAATCTGCATGGCAGACAAAGCCTGGCGAGGGGCTACGGCCACAGCCCTTTCCTTACCTCCTGCCAGGGCCCTACCTGCTGCTGCACTTTTTTTTGGTGGCAGAAACAAAGCATCTTTCCCCATATGCACTTCCTGGCTTATGCCAAGTACCTTATGCGACCTTCTCTCCTTGTGGTCCAAATCTCCCAGGGAGTGGTGAGGAAGGGTTTAGAAACCAGCCTGCTTTCTTCACTCCTTGCCCTGGCATGACAATTTTTAGGCCAAATAAGCCCACCACCTTGTCTTGAGCTCTGACCTGGAGAAACCAGTCAGGCTGAGACCACCAAGGTCCCCGCTTCTCCTCACCACTTGTGCAAGAGACAGAGCCTTGTGTAACAGATGGAGAACATCACACCTGACATGAAGTCCCACTACCCTTTAGTTTCTACATTGCAGGCAACATGTGGGTATTAAACTTTCTTATCCAGTGCCTGTATGATACACGGCAATAAAGACTTTAAAAAACTGCAAAGGGAAGAAGATGGTTCCCTTCAGGAACAAAAGAAGATCCACAGGACTGCTGTTGGCTGTCAAGCCAGCTCCAGTGGCTAAAGATAAAAAAGTGTGACCCATTATTTCAACCCATCTATCCTGATTAATGAGGGTCATTCTCCTTGTACCTTGCTCCTCAGTTTAACCAGTTAAAAGAAATGATGATTCACAGCTGAAAAATAATAGGATGTGATTTTTTGAGAACCCACCCATACTTGAAGTAAGCCAGATAGAAAAGGACAACAGTCTGGCATGTGGACAATCTTGTCAAGGCCTCAGTCTGATTTGTCAGACTAACTGTAAAACGCAATTGCAAAAAGTCTCACTTGCCCAGCAGAGGAACATTCCCATCACCTGCAAGAAATACTGTGTGTTCCCTCCCAGTAACTCAAAACATCTCTCTGTTCCCCATATTACACGGTCATCTAAGTCCTCCGAGGCACATGTAGTGGCAGAATACATCTAAACTGCACACCATGACACTTCCATGTGCAGTACCAGATCCTTCAGACAGTACAAGACTGTACAAGCCACTGTAGAGCTGTCCTATGCCTGGTAAGGACCTACTTCTTTCTTTCACAGTTTGCAGTGGCACTGGTCCAGGAAAATTCAGTTTTCAGTAAGTCTGTCAATTGAGAAAGGTATGACCTCTAATCTAGTTGGATTCTTGCCTCTAAAGCTCATTTACTAAAAGTAAAGATTATTTATGAAACACACTGAGTATGCTCACCACTATGAAACAAAACACAAGAGAAATCCAGCGTGTGCCTCTGACAGCAGAGATGTGATACGTGTGTACTATTTTCAGCGAGCTTAGTACTAACCTAACTCTACAGCCAGCAGAAATCAACATAGTTTAGCCACTAACTGCAACAAGACAAACCCCAGACTCTGCAATCCCTCTCAGACTTGCAGATACTTGATTTGGTTCAGAGTCTATATTTTAAGGCGTCCATCAGCTACCCAGGTTAAAGTTGATCCAGAACATTCAAAGTCCAGACATGAAGGAGCTGGACTCAGCACTCATTTGATATCTCTCTCTCCCAGAGAACAACCAGGAGGAAGGTTCTAGCTGGGACCACCACCGATGTGCCAAACCTCAAGGCACTGTATCTCCCCTTTAGAGAATGACAGGCGAAAGACATGCCCAAAAGCCAGGAGCCTTTGCAGGGACACAAGTTTGGCATCTAGGTTTGGGTCCAGACAGCTCTGGAAAACCTAATTCTACCTGATGAACCAAAATATAATCCTAGTTCTCAGGGTATAAATCTAAACTTGCTTCAATGAAATACAAAGAACTAGTCTTTGTTGACAGCCATGTTATGTACTGGAATTTCACCCATACATACAGACTTTTGAAAAATAACAGGTTGCTTGAGAAGCACCTGCCCATGTTGTGAAGTCCTTAAAGCACTTAAACTTCTGGGCATTTTGCACAGGTAAAGACAGGACAATATGGCAACAGAAAAGTTCTGCCAAGGGTAAAAACAAAAAGCCCAAACACTTATAATAATCTGAGGACAGAACATCAGGGAAGGCACTTCATCAATATGTTCATTGGCTTCCTATGTTTTATTGATGCTGAAGTATTTTATAGTATCTTGATTCTGAATTTTTCTAGCAGATCATCAGAAGTTCTTATCTGGAAGTGCTAGTTACTTCTAAGTGCCATTTTACTGCAGATATAATTGGACATCAAGCACTGAACTTGGAAGTTATCCAAAACCTAATTAGGAAGTTGGATACTTAGATCAGGCTGTGACAGAAAATGAAAATGTCGAATGTGGCTGACAAGCAGGTCTGATCTACTAGGTCTGTTTACAATACTTGAAAGGATTCTTTTTGTAATTTACACAAGCAAAGCAGAATTGCACATGCAATGGAGAAGGTCAAATTTCAACTTCCATCATGACCCCACCGCTTTCCACTGGCATGTAAAAAAGGGGCCTCATCTCTAAAAAACTGTGAAAATCTCAAGACTGCATTGGAGGAG